ATACGAAGAGAGGGGAAGGGGGGGGGGGGGGTAGAAGGTCAGAGTGTGTGTGTGAGAGCGAGAGAGAGAGAGAGAGAGAGAGAGAAAGAGAGAGAGAGAGAAAGAATCTCACTGTAATATCTTTAGTAGGGACACATCCAATGAGCGAGTGGGTGGTATTCTTGGGGCAGTTGGTTGGGGACCAAACCACGTCAGTGAACTGGAATAAAGTACCAGACACAACCTGAAAATACAGATTTGAACACATCTATACATCCAAGTTAAACAGTCAGAGGGGCTTACAAAATTCAAGTCATTTGACTACTGTAGTAGGGCTACTGGAGGGGGTACTGGAGTAGGGCTACTGGAGTGGGATACTAGAGTGGGATAACACCTATCAAAAGAAGTGAATCTAAAACACACACATTTATCCCAAGAAGTGACTCTACAACACAAACGTATCACAACAAGAAGTGGCTTAAGAACACACACATCATAGCAAGAAGTGACTCTACAATACACACATTTCAAAACAAGAAGTGACTCAACAACATACACATATCACAAGTAGTGACTCAACAATATACACATATCACAAGATGTGATTCAACAACACACACATATCACTAGTGACTCAACAACACATATCACAGCAAGATGTGTCTCAACAACACACATATCACATGATGTAACTCAAACACACATATCACAGCTGACTCAATAACACACACATATGACAGCAAGGACTTGCCTGAGAAGTGACTTGACCGACGGACACAACTTTCCACAGGACGGGACAATCTGAATCGTTGTTCAATTTGGACTCAGCGAAGGTCAGGGCTTTCTGGACCTCGGTGTTGTTGATGTTGACCACAACTGGAAATCCCGCTGGAACAAATGACCAAGTATTTTATCATACAGTTTTGTGGACTTTTCAGTCCAACGTTTTATGTGATAAAATTTAGCAGGGTATTTTAAAGTGATTCGTTTGTGTGCGTGTGTGTGTGTGCGAGGGGGGGAGGGGAGGGGGGGGGGAGGGAAGGATTTTAAAATTATTTTTTTTTGCTCAACAAAGAACGTTTCACGGAAACACCACTCCAATGTGTATGTGACAGTAATTCAAGCTTGCAGAGTATTAGGAGAAGGCCGGGGAAGTTTGGAGGTGGTGACTACACTACAAAGGGTGCTTCTTTATCAGGCAATGCTTTAGAATATTCTAGACTTTCTAGAATTAAGAGTTTAAGCCCCGAAACAAATAGTTTAAGTTGGAAAAAAAATAATTTAAAGTTTGTCTGTGCTTACTCCCTTCAGAGCAGATTGGACCCCTGGTTAGCGCAAATGGTTTGAAGTTTGGATCCCGGCTAGCTGGAGGGGCCATGATGTCAACCTGGCAGAGCTCAACCTGGTGGTCGAAAAAAAAGTACGCCAGAGTGTGATACACTATGCTACAATATAAAACTGTATAGAATCAGGCGCGTACCCTCGGTTCTCCGTGAGCATTAACGCACCCACGTTTTTTTCATTGTAAAGAGCACCCTACAATAGATACACGGTGGCACACGATGACTAAACTTAACCAGGGGCCATATCCGGTGCCACTATGGTAGTATAACCGGTGAATCTCGAGAGCGCCACCGTGACGCAAACGACACCTGTGTGGTCACCGAGGAATATTCTACCCCCACTAATGCATCGGGTCATTTAACTCAAAGGCTTTACACAGCACGCCCTGGAGCGTCTGGGCGGTAATATGGACAAACCCGCGCCTTAACAACTATGATTAAAAAATACAGCACCGGCATTGTTTACTCTTAAATTACTCAGATTTTGAAAACAAGATCATGTGTCTAAAAATACACGATTGGTAACGCATTGATGAAATCATCTTTTAATATTGCATCAGCATTTCTTCCGAGACCACAGTAAAGCGCGTGATGGGTACGCCAGTGTGATATATAGGAAAACATAGTTTCCGACACCAACGCCGGCAGAAAGTTGGTGGTTACTTGCTATGTTTAGCTATCTGTTTGCTATTGATATTTTCGTTAAAGTTTGAGGAAAAATGTCAGTTATTCCTAGGCACATGTCATTTGAAATATACCACGAGCCGATATGTCAGTTAGCTCAAACTTGAATATAAAATGGGTATCTGCCACTCGAGAGGTGAAGTTTATAGCACGCTGTTACAGTGTGTGGTTTTTTAAATTATTTTTCTATCCTTTTTAATAAAAGTAAAATAAAAATCTCCTAAGACACACATCCACTAAACTTAGTCGATTATTGAATTGTTAATGCAACAAACAAAGTTTAATAAAAAATTTACAATACTTAACTAAAATATATGTTGTTAGCTCTTACTTTTTTAGGTGTGCTTACGGCCAGTTTTAGGAAGAATTCTCCACCAATCTGACCCTGATTGAGATAAGATAGATACATTTTGTTAGGACATTTTAATTCAAATACAAGTTGCTGAATATATTTAGTAGGATTTTTGCACTCAAAAACAAGGTGCTGCATACAGCACTAAACAAATAGAGTGAGGTTTGAAACTTGACACCGATAGAAATAGGTTAGCAACTTGACACAGATAGTGTTACAAGCTACGACAGACGAGGCAAGTGAACCCCACTGCAAGTAACACCAGAAACAAAAGAAATCACTAAGTTTCATTCGTTGTTTCGTTGATATATTAGTTTAACATGCTTTGTTGTCAGCAAAAGTATCTGAATGTTTCCTTTCCAAAATTATTTGAATGTTTCCCTACCAAAAGTATCTGAATGTTTCCCTCCCAAAAGTAATTGAATGTTTCCCTCTCAAAAGTATCTGAATGTTTCCCTCCCAAAAGTATCTGAATGTTTCTTTTCCCAAAAGTACATGAATGTTTCCCTCCCAAAAGTATCTGAATGTTTCCTTTCCCAAAAGTATCTGAATGTTTCCTTTCCCAAAAATATCTGAATGTTTCCCTCCCCAAAAATATCTGAATGTTTCTCTCCTAAAAGTATCTGTGAAGCTATAGGTAAGCATGACACATACGGTATTGTAAAGCTAGAACAAACACATTTGTTACATGCGTTGAATTACACTGAGTAATTAAAATACAAAAGTAATGCAGTAAAAAAACAATCATCTCTTAAAAAAACAATCATCTCTTGAATAGTACAGTAACACATTAAAATGATTACTTAAGTAATGTCCGGTGAAATTACTTCTGTTAAGGCGGGTCTGGTGAACATACCGTTCTAGAGGCTGACGAAATATTTAAGAAAGTTCTTGTGGCGCTGTCCCCTTGCTTCTTGTAGTGTTCGTTGATGGCCTCGACTGCGAACTTGACAATCGGACAGCTGCCATTTAGTCCTTTTACCACTGTGACTGGTTCGGAGGCCAGACACGTCGACACAACCAGCGATATGATGGACAGGAAGAAATACATGACTGCGGGCAGCTGATGCTACTGTATGTGGGCTGTAACTGACACTGTAACAGGGAAGTTGGTATTGGGAGATTGTTATCAGAGCTCAGGGAGGTCACTAAAAGAAGTAAGGGAGGTCATTAGAACATAAAACACACGAACGCATGCACACACTCACAAGCAGAGTAAAAAACATGCACAGTATTTCGAAAAATGAAACGTGACGTCACATGGAGCATATAGTAGAAAAGAGTTTAAAGCCGGAGAGTGCACACAATAATATGACGTCATTGATTCTCGAGTAAACATTGTCTAATCTTAAAAGTGTTTTATGTGAAGAGTTACTTTCATTCAATTCTTCGGGTAAGGGGCAAAGCCCTCCCCCCTTTAAGAACGTATATGCCGCCCCCCCCCCCCTAAACAGTGACGCCATCGATACTCTATGATAAAAACACTGACATTACGGCATAATAATTGTGTCTAATCTTTAAAATGTTTTGCGCGAAGGGTTTCTTTCATGCATCTCATCGGGTAGGGTCGAAGCCCCACCCCCGGTAGAACGTCTATGTCGACCCCCCTCTCCCCTCAAAGAAATGACGCCATCGATACTCCATAATAAAAATACTGACATTACGGTCTAAATTATGTGTTTAATGTTATAAGTGTTTTGCGTGAAGAGTTTCTCTTCTGATAGGGCGAAGCCCCTTTACCCCCCAATACCCCCCTCCCCCCACGGTAAAACGTCTATCCCCCCCCCTGTCGGTAGAACGTCTAACCCCTCCCCCCCCCCCCCACGGTAGTACGTCTAATCCCCCCCCCCCCTCCTCCAAAAAAGGCGTAATATAATTAAATAGAAAATATATTCTTTTACCAGTGTCATCCTCCCCCGACCTGTCGAAATTTATTCGCCCCTGCAAAAGTTTAAGTGCCCCACCCCCGGAAAAAAAGCCTGAAACGAAAACTGTCTGCGTGAGTAAAGTTTATCGGAAGAAAGTAGGAAACAGGTCTGTATTATAGAAGTAGGCTCTACCTTTAGTTTGTTTGAGCTACAAATGCGACCAGTGTTTCTTTCGGAGTTATTCCTCCCCAGAGGGGGGGGGGTTCTGAAATTTTCGGGGGTGAGAGTTGATTAAATTTTATGGAAGGGGGCGGACACAGGTAAAAATACGTTTTCTATAAAAAGTATATTTCGTTGAAGGGGACGGTAGACGTGCTTTAGTGTGTATGTGTGTGTGTGTGGGGAGGGGGGGGGGGTGCGCGGGTCCCCTATGTCGTGTTTGAGATTAGGTGCAAAGTTTAGGGATATGACTTTGACAATATTTAGTATCAATATTCCATAACTACCTGTAGATCAAGCTTAATTCCGGTTAAAATGCCGGTTTTCAGTGACATTTTTCGTTTCCGGTGAAATTTGAAGTTAATATGGTGATTTTGTTTTTGGTTTCGATTTAGAGAAAAAGACAACACTATCAACCTAGCGCCCGTTGTATCTCTCCATCAACGGGCCATTTATCTCGTCTATAATAATAGTTTCGCAGTCTGTCTATCTATTTTAGAATCTATCTGTCAAGAACGCTAAAGAGAAAACACAAGCAGAGTAAAAACATGCATAGTAATTCGAAAAACGAAACGTGACCTCACATGGAGCTTATAGTAGGAAATTGTCTCAAGCCGGGAAAGTGCACAGAATAGTATGACGTCATTGATTCTCGAGTAAACATTGAATTTAAAAGCCTATGTTGTCAAATCTTAAAAGTGGTTTGCGTGAAAGGTTTCACTCATGCATTATTTTGGGTAGGGGCGAAGCCCCACTCCCCGGAAGAACGTCTAAGCCCCTACCCCCTCCCTCAAAAGAATTGACGTCATCGATAATCTAAAATAAAACACTGAAATTACGTCCTAATTAATAAGTCTAATTTTTAAAAGTGTTTTGCGTGCATAGTTTCTTTTATACATCTCTTCGGGTATGGGCAAAGCCCCTCCCCCCATAGAACGTCTACCCCCCGCCCTCCTAAAAAATTCAAATATAATTTATATAGAAAATATATACTTTTACCAGTGTCGGCCTCCCCCGCCCCGGAGAATTTTATTGATTAAAGTGCCCTACCCTTGGAAAAAAGTCTGAAAGAAACACTGAGTGAGTGAGATTTATCGGCCAAAAGTAGTAAACAAAGGGTCTATATTATAGAAGTCGGCTCTACATTTAGTCTGTATGATCTACAAATGCGACAGGTGTTTTTTATAGATATTTTCCTCCCAGAAAGGGGGAGGGGGCTTGAAATTTTCGGAGACGTTGGTTTACATTTTCTGGGGAGGGGTCGGACACTGATAAAAGTATATATTTTTTTATATAAATTCAATATCGTCATAGGGGGCGGGTAGACCCCACCCCCTTACTCTCCCGAAGAGTTACCTGAAAGAAACTATAAATGCAATTTTTGTCAAGTTTGAGCTTAGGTTCAAGGTTTCCGGGTTTGACCACGACTATATTAAATATGGATGTGCAGTAACTACGTGCCGATTCTTGATAAAAATAGCATGTTCGTTTCCGGTTAATCTGGAAGTTGAGGTGGTGATTTTGGTTTTGGTCAGAGAAAAAGACAACACTATCAACCTAGCGCCCGTTGTATATCTCCCTCAACGGGCCATTTATCTCGTCTATAATAATAGTTTCGCTGTCTGTCTATCTATCTATGTATCTATCTATCTGTCAAGAACGCTAAAGAGAAAACACAAGCAGAGTAAAAACATGCATAGTAATTTGAAAAACGAAACGTGAAGTCACATGGAGCATATAGTAAGAAATAGTCTCAAGCCTGAAAAATACACACAGTAATATGACGTCATTGCATCTCTTCGAGTAGTGTCGTCCATGTTTCTAAACATAGTATGCGCACAAAAACTAAACCATAAGTGGAAACTAAAACGAGCTCGTTGAAATTTGGTTTAGGTAAAATGTGTATTAGGGGGGGGGGGGAGAGAGAACCTTGAACTGAACCTCAATAAAAAATGTAAATTTACTTACCATACGTTCAAAGCAACCAGTGTCAAAAAATGAGAGGTTAAAGTGACATACCTTTAGATGAGGAGCACCAAAACCAAGATAGCCAGCTGACCACCAAGTGCGCCTTTTATGTTTTCAAACTGTGATTTAGACATCACGTGATTCCACGTGGTGATCACGTGAATGCATGTGGTGTCAGGGATTCTCAATAAGTTCAACCGGTCTTGACATGTAATTTCAGTTTATTCTGAAAATAATTTTTTTTAAACGATAAAAACATGTTGTCTTAGACTAGCCAGGCACTGGGCAGGTGAAGTAGATTTGAGTAGGAATAGTGTGGTCAGACCCAGGCTCAGCCGAAATCCGTGTTTTTAAAAGATAAAAAACGTCTTTTGAACGTGGGGTCTGGTTATTTTGTGATGATAAGTGACAGACGTGATGTAATTTATGGATGACCCCCGAAATCCACAGTTATCTAACTAGATAACGGGTAGTCTAGTGCCAAATAAATATGACACACATTTATTTAGCAAATATCAATTACTACTATAGGACTACCCATCACAGAAACCCGTTTTTTCTATATATGTTTTGTCATACGGACAGGGTAATGCCAAAACGAACGACGGGCGATTGAGTGTTACAACATGTTTTGAGTGAGATCGGCAAACATATGGAAAGTTACGATGACACCATAATACAACATATCGCAACTTTTTTTTTAATTAAAAAAAAATTCACCTCCGCTGGATGCCCCCCCCCCCCCCAGTGGTGAAAGCCCGGGTTCCCCCCCCCCCCCCCCCCCCCCCCCCTCCTACACGCAACTGGGCACACGCTGCAGAAAACATTTAATTTGATTTTGATGAACAATTTTACAGTGATGATTAGAACAAATATATGGTCAAATAATCGGAGTAGCGTGATTAATTATTGGATAGCCGAAAGGGCAAAGTTTGAATACATTAAATTACACATTTTATTGTGAAACTATAATATGTTATATTGTGAAACAGCGTAGCCAGTAGCATATAAAGCAGGTGTACTGGTCGGTTGTGACGTTGACACCTGATAAAATCAGCTGTCCATTTAAAACATCCACACGAGTAGTTTTAAAACAAAGTAGCTGGTTGGAAAGAAATGGAAAGAGGTGTTAGCTAAAAACGTAGGGACCCCTGACACGTTGGCTTTGGACTATGAGTAATCCCACACAGCTAGCTATAGCTGTTAAGTTTTCAAATATACACATCATTAAAGCTATAGATAAGTGGTTCTTAAACCCGGGTTCAATCAAACTCCAGGGGTTCGGTGAGTCAGTTTCAAGGGTTCGGCGGGGGTCAAGACACACATATGATTCAAGATACAATTTTGTCAGTGCGAACGACAGACCTATCAATAGTAGGGTTCGGAATTAGCATATGGCAGTGGTGGGGTTCAGTATTCGGGGAACTAACATATGGCAGTGGTGGGGTTCAGTATTTGGGGAGTTATCATATGACTGTAGTGGGGTTCAGTATTCGGGGAGTTAGCATATGAAAGTAGTGGGATTCAGAACCTACAGAAATGATAAGAGCCGCTGCTATAGATCCTTAAAAATACAACCTATACGAAGCATCCACGTTAACGATATTTAATCAACACCTTGATTCTTTGACCTCATCAGCTCTAATAACATTAATCTGTATTTATTAACCCAAATCCATACATGCACTGACCTAATCCTAACTTATCGTACAGGCTTAACGTGTTTGCATGCCAAATTTTCTAATACCTTCGGTTTAATCATCTAATTTAGTGTTTTAGGATTACATTAACAAACAAATAGTAGGAAATAAAGAAAAAAGTCATTTTTTTCTAACAGCCAATGAAACTGTTCAACCGTTTTTCCTTTTTACAGGTTTCTATCTATCCCATTGTTAGTTCGGCTGGGATTGGCTTGTCTAAATGCATCTTTGATATTGCTAGAACTGACTACGGCTAATCCCCTAATTGGTGTAGCTAGCATTGAGTATGGCTAATCCCCTGATTGTTGTAGCTAGCACTGGGTATGGCTAATCCCCTGATTGTTGTAGCTAGCACTGGGTATGGCTAATCCAATCTTTGATATAGCGGCAATAGATTGGCTTGATCTCATCTTTGATACAGATGGAACTGACTTGGTCTTAGGATGAGGGTTAAAATAGGGATAGGTATATGGTAGGGTTTCAGAATCCCACTACTGTCATATGCTAACTCCTCGAGTACTGAACCCCACCACTGCCATATGTTAGTTCCCCGAATACTGAACCCCACCACTGCCATATGCTAATTCCGAACCCCTCTATCAATAGTTCTATCGTTAGCACTAACAAAATCCGATCTTGTATCATATCAGTCGGGTGTGTGTCTTGACCCCCGCCGAACCCTTGAAACTGACTCACCGAACCCCTGGAGTTTGATTGAACCCGGGTTTAAGAACCGCTTATCTATAGCTTTAATGATGTGTATATTTGAAAACTTAACAGCTATAGCTAGCTGTGTGGGATTACTCATAGTCCAAAGCCAACGTGTCAAGGGTCCCTGTTTTATTAACATTATATTAATACAATTTTTGGCGAGTCTGATTGGAAAATAAAGGTCATTTGACCTTGTGAATGTAACCTACATGTCCATGGGGTTCAAAAGTTCATAAGGTCGCCAGGTATGTAGTTGTCATCTAAAGTCATTTACCTCACAGCTATACTGTCTCCATCTCCAGCTATACTGTCTCAATCTACCAGCTATACAGTTTCCCTGTCCCAGCTATACAGTCTATATTTTCCAGCTATAATCTCCATGTCCAAGCTATACAGTCTTCCTCTCCCAGCTATACTGCCTCCCTATCCCAGGTATACAGTCTATATTTCCCATCCATAATCTCCATGTATCAGCCATAGCCACCACCTCCCAATTATTAAGTCCCCATATCCCAGCTATTTAGTCTCCACCTCAGCTATACAATCTATATTTCCCAGTTATAAAGTTATAACGCCCCCATATCACAATAATACCCTTTTTATAACTCGGTAATACACGGAGCATCCCAACACAAAATAAATTAATAAATGACTTTTTGTTGGTGACTATATAATGTCATTCTAATAGGTTATGATGTTCTTTTGTAACTGGTTGTGATGTTGTGGTTTGATTAATTGGTACTGATTAATTTTGTACAATGAAGTCAACCCCACCCCACCTCCATGCCTTGTGTTTTATCTTTTCTGTACTAAAAAGTAAACAAATCATGTGACGTCACTATTCACGCAAAGTAAAGTCGTTTTTCTAAACTTTTAAAATTAATGTGATTAATCTACCAATGAATAAATCAATAAATTAATTAACGTCTTAAAATAAATTTGTGATTAACAGTCAGTCCGAAACAGTGTTTCTTCCAGACTTTTTTTCTCCGGGTTGGGGGGGGGGGCACATGAGATTTTCGGGAGGGGGGGGGTCAACATTTTTCAAGGGGAGGGGCGGACACTAGTAAAAGTGTATGTTTACTATATAAATTCCATCTCGTTCGGGGGGGGGGGGGGGCGGTAGACTTTCTTCGGGGGGCAGAGTCCCCCCGAAGAGATGCCTGGAAGAAACTCTGGTCTGAAAACAAAAATTGCTCTCTACCTACATACTATTTTACAGCTCTACACATAGTGCAGATTCTCTCCAGTAGCCAGACAAACAAACAAACAAATAAATATTCAAACATGTAAACAAAGTTGAGTTTTAGTAGTATTACACACACACACACACATATATATATATATATATATATATATATATATATATATATATATATATATATATATATATATATATATATATATATATATATATATATATATATATATATATATATATATATATATTTATTTATTTATTTATTTATTTATTTATTTATTTATTTATATTTGTGTGTGTGTGTGTGTGTGTGTGTTAACAAGACAAACACTCTCAAGACAAATCTTTTCTGATTCGTTTTTGATCTGTAAAAGTCCGACAGTCCTTATTGTTAATGTTGATGAGACATACCGTTACCCGGTCTTAATCTCTAGTGTTTATGAGTTATAACGTCCTAAGAGAAGAACAGTGACGACAATGGTGAGCTGACCTCAAAAGCGGCTCTACCAAACTTTGACACCACGTGATACCACGTGGCCAGAGATGCCCAACTGTTTCAACCAATCCGGTAGCTGGTAGACTAGAATGTGTGGTGTGAGAACCTCTGATAATGGAGATTTGGGCTCTGATGTCTCACTATTAATCTTTGACAGCCAGGTTTAGCTAAAGTGGCCAAGATATTGCTCCCAGCGTAGACAGCTTTAATCTCCATCTTAACATTTGGTTTAATGTTACAGGATTAGTTTAGCTTGTGATTTAGCTAATTTAACTCTGTTGAACAGATGCCAAACAATGGTCCCACATTGGTGACCTATAGCTAGCACTTGCGTGATCTAGTCCCATCATTAGTAGCCTAATGAAGTAATTTCCTGTGGAAGATGGTAGCTGTGATTTCTTTAAGCTCCAAATTGACTTGACTGTAAGGATTAATTAAACGTTCACATTTAAGCATTTGTTTTGTTCAATCATTTCATTCAATTATTGTTTTAGCTTAACAGGTTTGTTCAATCCAATCATTTCAATTATGTTTTTGGTTGACGAATGTGTTCAATTCAATCATTTGAGTCAAGAGTGTTTGAGCCTCGTCAGTTTGTTCGATTCTTTAACTCTCTGACACTTTAACCTTAGATCGCAGAAGTTGTTCAGACAAAAGATGACGTCATTTACTCTCCACATCTGCTGTTGGACATGTGCTGGTCATTCATTTCAAGTTCAACTCGATCTGATGAAGTCACGTGGTGGACATCAGTTGATTTGATGGCCAACATCATTTGATGACATCACTTTATGGCTAACATCATTTGATGACATCACTTTACAGCGTAACATTATTTAATGACATCACTATCGCAATACATCATTTAATGACAACACTTTACAACATAACATTATATGTTGACATCACTTTATGGTATAACATCATTTGATGACATCATGATTTGATGGCAAAACATCACCGATCCCATTACATGATTAAATGACATCCTATCCAGAGGACAAACATACTAAATTTCTTATTTTTATGATAATCTAATCTTGAATTGCAAGCATGTAATTTTTTTTACAACTCTCCCCCCCCCCCCCCCCCCTCACCCCCCCCCCCCTCCGTAAAATTTTAAAATACAGTTTCCCTATTCTGATATCAATTTTACAGATACGCTTCAACATCTCATAACATATATTACTGATTACATTATATTCATAGCCCGACAATAAAAGATTTTCATTTCACAAAATTGGGATTAAGGTTCAAATAAAACAAATACAAAAACATTAACAAATAAATGTTGACAAATGTTGGACTTGTGAAAACACTCCACAGTTATGCCATCCAAATGTCAAATGTTGGACTTGTGAAAACACTCCACAGTTATGCCATCCAAATGTCAAATGTTGGACTTGTGAAAACACTCCACAGTTATGCCATCCAAATGTCAAATGTTGGACTTGTGAAAACACTCCACAGTTATGCCATCCAAATGTCAAATGTTGGACTTGTGAAAACACACCACAGTTATGCCATCCAAATGTCAAATGTTGGACTTGTGAAAACACTCAACAGTTATGCCATCCAAATGTCAAATGTTGGACTTGTGAAAACACTCCACAGTTATGCCATCCAAATGTCAAATGTTGGACTTGACTTGTGAAAACACTCCACAGTTAGGCCATCCAAATGTCAAATGTTGGACTTGTGAAAACACTCCACAGTTATGCCATCCAAATGTCAAATGTTGGACTTGACTTGTGAAAACACTCCAAAGTTATGCCATCCAAATGTCCAATGTTGGACTTGTGAAAACACTACACAGTTATGCCATCCAAATGTCAAAATTTGGACTTGTGAAAACACACCACAGTTATGCCATCCAAATGTCAAATGTTGGACTTGTGAAAACACTCCACAGTTATGTCATCCAAATGTCAAATGTTGGACCTGACTTGTGAAAACACTCAACAGTTATGCCATCCAAATGTCAAATGTTGGACTTGTGAAAACACTCCACAGTTATGCCATCCAAATGTCAAATGTTGGACTTGACTTGTGAAAACACTCCACAGTTAGGCCATCCAAATGTCAAATGTTGGACTTGTGAAAACACTCCACAGTTATGCCATCCAAATGTCAAATGTTGGACTTGTGAAAACACTCCACAGTTATGCCATCCAAATGTCAAATGTTGGACTTGACTTGTGAAAACACTCCAAAGTTATGCCATCCAAATGTCAAATGTTGGACTTGTGAAAACACTCCACAGTTATGCCATCCAAATGTCAAATGTTGGACTTGACTTGTGAAAGCACTCCACAGTTATGCCATCCAAATGTCAAATGTTGGACTTGACTTGTGAAAACACTCCACAGTTATGCCATCCAAGTGTCAAATGTTGGACTTGTGAAAACACTCCACAGTTATGCGATCCAAATGTCAAATGTTGGACTTGACTTGTGAAAACACTCTACAGTTATGCCATCCAAGTGTCAAATGTTGGACTTGGGAAAACACTCCACAGTTATGCCATCCAAGTGTCAAATGTTGGACTTGTGAAAACACTCCACAGTTATGCCATCCAAATGTCAAATGTTGGACTTGACTTGTGAAAACACTCCAGTTATGCCATCCAAGTGTCAAATGTTGGACTTGTGAAAACACTCCACAGTTATGCCATCCAAGTGTCAAATGTTGGACTTGTGAAAACACTCCACAGTTATGCCATCCAAGTGTCAAATGTTGGACTTGTGAAAACACTCCACAGTTATGCCATCCAAGTGTCAAATGTTGGACTTGTGAAAACACTCCACAGTTATGCCATCCAAGTGTCAAATGTTGGACTTGTGAAAACACTCCACAGTTATGCGATCCAAATGTCAAATGTTGGACTTGACTTGTGAAAACACTCTACAGTTATGCCATCCAAGTGTCAAATGTTGGACTTGTGAAAACACTCCACAGTTATGCCATCCAAGTGTCAAATGTTGGACTTGTGAAAACACTCCACAGTTATGCCATCCAAATGTCAAATGTTGGACTTGACTTGTGAAAACACTCCAGTTATGCCATCCAAGTGTCAAATGTTGGACTTGTGAAAACACTCCACAGTTATGCCATCCAAGTGTCAAATGTTGGACTTGTGAAAACACTCCACAGTTATGCCATCCAAGTGTATATCTTTGTAGATGTCGGCTCAGTCAGCATCGGCGGACGATTTATCACCAGCCTACACATCGCTGGTAGCATCCATGCCATATCATGCAGCATATCGCTGATAGTATACAGCATCCATGCCATATCATGTAGCATATCGCTGATAGCATACAGCATCCATGCCATATCATGCAGCACAATGCTGGTAGCATCCATGCCATATCATGTAGCATATCGCTGATAGCATACAGCATCCATGCCATATCATGTAGCATATCGCTGATAGCATACAGCATCCATGCCATATCATGTAGCATATCGCTGATAGTATACAGCATCCATGCCATATCATGTAGCATATCGCTGATAGTATACAGCATCCATGCCATATCATGTAGCATATCGCTGATAGCATACAGCATCCATGCCATATCATGTAGCATATCGCTGATAGCATACAGCATCCATGCCATATCATGTAGCATATCGCTGATAGTATACAGCATCCATGCCATATCATGTAGCATATCGCTGATAGTATACAGCATCCATGCCATATCATGCAGCACAATGCTGGTAGCATGCAGCATAAATGCCATATCATGTAGCACATCGCTGATAGCATCCATGCCATATCATGTAGCACATCGCTGATAGCATACATGCCATATCATGCAGTACATTGCTGATAGCACACAACATCCATGCTATATCATGCAGCACATCGCTGGTAGCATACATGCCATATCATGCAGAACATCGCTGATAGCATACATGTCATATCATGCAGCACAATGCTGGTAGCATCCATGCCATATCATGCAGCACATCTCTGGTAGCATACATGCCATATTATGCAGTGAATCCGAGTTGATAGACTAAGTAGACCGATTGGGCAAAACATCCATAACACATGACATGGGAATTAATGCCGAGAAGGCGAAGGTCATTACCAACAACCCAAATGGTATCGTGCGGACGTAAGTGTAAACTGCCAAAGTTTGGAGGAGATTCACTCTTTAACTTGGCGCCATCCTATCTAATCAAGGAACAAATCAAGAAGTACTTGCAAGGACTGCCCAAACACCCGCTGCCTTCAGTAAGTTAAGGAGCATTAGGAGTGACAAAATGATCTCTCTTGGCACAAAAGCTAAACTTGTGTGGTCACTGGTCATGTCTGTCCTCAGGCCATGAACATGAGATGTTTACTCAAGAGATATCATACAGAGAGCACATTAGAAATGAAAAAGATCAACAACAGGTAGGTCCATATGAGACCAGAAACTTACCACAAAAAAAACAGTGAAATTTTTTCCATAAATAATGTTTTCCGTGCACCTTGATACGGATTTTGTACCACAAACAAGTCGACTGTAGCAGTGATTGTTCTACAGTAACACTAACATACACTGTTACGTAGTAAAATATTTTTACAATCTACATCAGCTGTTGTGTGAAAGATAGTCAAACGTTGCCTCTACTTCCATGACTCTATGCCCTTCTTTAAATAGTCTAATAGTGGAACCCATAAAGCTTTTTTTTTAAAGTTTTGTACTAGGCAAATTAAACAGCAGTTTCTTCTCTTAATTATAGTTCAAATAAGGCATACTAAGGAATGGTTCAGCTATAAAATTCAATGTGTACAAATCTAATAATATAAATAAAAAAAATCATATAAATAAACAGAACGCAAGAAACAACACAAATCAATCTAAAGTGTTTATATATTTTTGACCTGGTTTTATTATTCTTTAATGCATACATTTTCTTTTCACAGTTTTCGGCAAAATTAAATGCGATACAAACATTTATAAAACACGATTTTATTTCAGGCCCGAAATGTTTGCACATACTTTCGTCTGGTTTGTTGTCTCATGTTGTAAATCTCTGCAAAAAATAAAATACATATATGTAATGTGTGGTTTGGTGGTAGTATGTGGTTTGGTGGTAGAGTGTGTTTTGGTGGTAGTGTGTGGTTTGGTGCAGTTTGGTGGTAGTGTGTAGTTTGGTGGTAGTGTGTGGTTTGGTGGTAGTGTGTGGTTTGGTGGTAGTGTGTGGTTTGGTGGTAGTGTATTGTTTGGTGGTAGTGTGTGGTTTGGTGGTAGTGTGTGGTTTGGTTGTAGTGTGTGGTTTGGTGGTAGTGTGTGGTTTGGTGCAGTTTGGTGGTAGTGTGTAGTTTGGTGGTAGTGTGTGGTTTGGTGGTAGTGTGTGGTTTGGTGGTAGTGTATGGTTTGGTGGTAGTGTGTGGTTTGGAGGTAGTGTGTGGTTTGGTGGTAGTGTGTGGTTTGGTTGTAGTGTGTGGTTTGGTGGTAGTGTGTGTTTTGGTGGTAGTGTGTGGTTTGGTGCAGTTTGGTGGTAGTGTGTAGTTTGGTGGTAGTGTATAGTTTGGTGGTAGTGTGTGGTTTGGTGCAGTTTGGTGGTAGTGTGTAGTTTGGTGGTAGTGTGTGGCTTTGTGGTAGTGTGTGTTTTTGTGGTAGTGTGTGGTTTGGTGCAGTTTGGTGGTAGTGTGTAGTTTGGTGGTAGTGTGTAGTTTGGTGGTAGTGTGTGGTTTGGTGGTAGAGTGTGTTTTGGTGGTAGTGTGTGGTTTGGTGCATTTTGGTGGTAGTGTGTAGTTTGGTGGTAGTGTGTGGTTTGGTGATAGTGTATGGTTTGGTGGTAGTGTGTGGTTTGGTGGTAGTGTGTGGTTTGGTTGTAGTGTGTGGTTTGGTGGTAGTGTGTGTTTTGTTTGTAGTGTGTGGTTTGGTGGTAGTGTGTGGTTTGGTGGTAGTGTATGGTTTGGTGGTAGTGTGTGATTAGGTGGTAGTGTGTGGTTTGGTGCAGTTTGGTGGTAGTGTATGGTTTGGTGGTAGTGTATGGTTTGGTGGTAGTGTGTGGTTTGGCGGTAGTGTGTGATTAGGTGGTAGTGTGTGGTTTGGTGGTAGTGTGTGGTTTGGTGGTAGTGTGTGGTTTGGTGCAGTTTGGTGGTAGTGTATGGTTTGGTGGTAGTGTATGGTTTGGTGGTAGTGTGTGGTTTGGTGCAGTTGGTGGTAGTGTGTGGTTTGGTGATAGTGTGTGGTTTGGTGTTAGTGTGTGGTTTGGTGGTAGTTTGTGGTTTGGTTGTAGTGTGTAGTTTGGTGGTAGTGTGTGATTTGATGGTAGTGTGTGTTTTGGTGTGGTTTGGCGGTAGTGTGTGGTTTGGTGGTAGTGTGTGATTTGATGTTAGTGTGTGTTTTGGTGTGGTTTGGCGGTAGTGTGTGGTTTGGTAGTAGTGTGTGGTCTGGTGGAAGTGTTTAGTTTGGTGGTAGTGTGTGGTTTGGTGGTAGTATATGGTTTGGTGGTAGTGTGTGGTTTGGTGGCAGTGTGTTGCTTGGTAGTAGTGTGTGGTTTGGCGATAGTGGATAGAATCTTGTGTAGACTAGACAGTGAAGTGAAGAGCCTACATACACATATCAACGAATCGAGGTGGCAAGCCTTTTTCCCTTTATGAAAATCCGTGACTTTAAAAGAACAAGTTACTTCCTGTCAAAGTAAAAAAAAAAATTGTCACCAGCAGTATTCAAAGCATTTGTAACTTTTATAACATTGATTCTAAAATTATTAAATTTCTGAGTTATTTTTAGTCTTAAGTTTTTATTTTATTTTTATTATTTTCACCGCCGCTATGAAGTCAAAATAAAAATTAAAAAAAACGAATTTTATCCATGTCAACAATAAGATAGAAAGATTATCGTCTATATGCAAATAACGACATATGATAAAATTTATATAACCGTTAACCAGAGGCGTAGCGAAGGGGGGTGGGGGTTCATATTTTTCCGGGCGCCGACCCTGAGGGCTCCAAAATGGGGGAAAAAATTAAAAGCTCATTTTAGCTGCAGTTTTGATTTATAAAGATTCAACATATATGGGGGAGGGGCGCCAAATTGAAAGTTTGTCCCAGGGCGCCGGGAGGGGTCGCTACGCCTCTGCCATAAACCTAACTCTAAACCTAACCCTAGCCATAAGTAACAACAACCACATACATTAATGAAAATATATATAGATTTAAACCCTTTCTCCTCATCGCACTACAAGGTCTACAAAAAGCAAACTAAACAACCAAATAAACACAAACATAAAAAAACACAAACACAAACATAAAAACAAACAAAAACATAAAAACAAATATAGACAATCACATATACACAAATATAAACACAAATATTAACAACCAAATAAACACAAACATAAACACATATATAAATATAAAAAAATCACATAAAAACTAACATAAAAAAGCATAAACACAAACATAAAAACCCATATTGACAATCACATATACACAAACATAAGCACAAATATAAAAAAAAAAAAAAATGAACACAAACATAAACACAAATATAAAAACAAATATAAACACAAAAATAAACACAAATATAAACAACCACATATTCACAAACATCAACATCAACGTAAACTTAAACTTAAACCCTCTCCACTAAAGAAAAACAATATTATCTTCATCTTTTTTTTTTTATTAGACACCAAGTAGACTGACGGTGTGCCGGATCAGATCCAGGTTTGATTTGATGAAAGATTATAATAGCCCATTGTATGCATAGTGCATAGCACTCTTTGAAACGAACGTAGACGTCATAGTGCCTACTGGCGAGCCCGGAGCATTAAATGGCCCGTCTACCGGAGGATGTTATATAAGAACTAGCTGCAAACCCGTACATCGCCACGGAATGAAATTCAAATTATACTTTTTGAAAGACAGAAATAATGTTCACAATAAAACATCTTTTTTTTAATCTTGTAAAAATACATTTGAACTGCACACATTGAAATGATGAACAGGTCGCGAATAACAGAATGCGAAATTATATACCTCCACTTCACCCGTAAACCCGACATTTAAAAGTGAAGTCTATACGAACAAAGCCTGTGACGAAACTGTTTTATCCATACTATACTGATGTTTGTGGTTTTCTTATTAGTTAGCAACAAAATCCTTAACGATGATCATTACAAATATAATCTTTCCCTTAAACTTTTACAGAAAATTTGTCAAGAATTATTAAATTATTAAAAACAAACACATATTGATATATAAGATATCGCTATCAGTTATCATAACTATCTGTGCCAACTTAGCGGCAAATAATCAACATGGTATTGCAACTTTAACCTCAATAAAACGTAGTCCTTAGCACCACAAGATAAAATATAGAAATTAAATATAAACTTAGAAAACAAAGTAAATACAGCTATTTCCCTCGCGGGTATTCAACATTTAATTAATGAGTTTTATCTCCTCTATCATTAATATATTGATAAAAACGTTTTAATAATAAGCTTTTATGTAATGATGCACTAAAAAATAGAAAATAAATTATATTGTTTCACTATATTATAATACTTTACTGTTTAAATAATTATCATTAAAAAAGTTAAAAAAAAAACCCACGTTTTCTGATTGAACTAAATGCTACACATCACAATAATGCAAGCGATCACTCTACTATAAGCGATGAAAAATGTGGGGCGCCGAAGTAAAAGATTTTTATCGGTCATTGTTAATATAAGATGAAAAAGTTATATTACTATTGATTAGATAATACTATTGACTTTTATTAGGGAGCTTGTAGAGAGTCAACAGTATTAGAAACTGTAAGAAAATCACGGCGCTCCACGTTTTTCATCGCTTATAGTAGAGTGATCGCTTGCATTATTGTGATGTATAGCATTTATTTTCTACTTTTTAGTTCAATCAGAAAACGTGTTTTTTTTAAAACTTTTTTAATGATAATTATTTTCTACTTTTTAGTCTTTGTCTGTTTGTTTGCATTCCAATCTTGCTATCGATTTTATCTTCTCGCATTCACTTTTTTTTGGGTAAACGAAGACGACTCGTAAAAAACACGTGCCTTTTCCAATCGACGTTTCTTCTGTATTGCCATCAACATTCTACTTCCTGATCAGTCAGATTTGCATAGGTTTGTACACAAACACCGCGTGACCACTACTCAGCCAATCGCGTGCTCGCCACAAGAGGGAAAGTACCGAACCTTGTTTTGATCAAATTACAATTACTAGGTTATGTCCCTTTTTTGTACAAATATATCGGGGTCTAAAATGATCAATAAAATGTTTCCATAGATCAATTTAGTAATAATAACAATTGAATATTGTATTGTCATCGGAAACAAAGCTTCCCTGAAAATTTCAGCGCGCTAGCTAACTGGGAAGTGCCCGAAATTTTGATCGCAAGATTTGATTGGAAAAACAAACAGACGCGAAAGCAAGTTAAAGAAAACGTGGGAAAAAACGTGTGTGTTGCTTAAGTGTGCATGGACACATGAACGTAACGGTTCAAATGTACACCATGAGCCTATGGATGTAAGGGATCACTTGTACACAAAATTCCCTGTAGGGCCTACGCCGTACACAATTTGAACTGGCACGAGCTAACACGTATTTAGTGTCACTTAGAGTAGACGGAAAAACGTAAAAAAAAACTTACTTCCCACTTGCATGCTTTCATGTTCTTGTTCTTGCTTTTGCATTTGGTCAGAACAACATCAGTGAAGCCGAATTGATGATTTGGGCCGCGCTAAAGTGAGAAACAGGCAAGACGTATTGGGGGGACATTTTAAAAGTAAACTAGTTTTAACTTTTTGATTAACCTAAATATCCTACAGGGGTGGCTTCAGTGCAACAATATCTTCTAGAATTTAGTGGGACCGTTTTATTCTGAAGTCTAGTGGGACCGTTTTATTCTGAAGTCTAGTGGGACAGTTTTGTTCTGAAGTCTAGTGGGACCGTTTTAATCTGAAGTCTAGTGGTACCGTTTTGTTCTGAAGTCTAGTGGGACCGTTTTATTCTGAAGTCTAGTGGGACCGTTTTATTCTAGTGGGACCGTTTTATTTTAGTGGGATCGTTTTATTCTGAAGTCTAGTATGACTGATTTATTCTGAAGTCTAGTGCGACTGTTTAATCTGATGTCTAGTGGGACCATTTTATTTTTAGTAGGACCATTTTATTCTAGTGGGAACATTTTGTTCTAGAACTTGATAGAACGCGTTTTGTCATTTACTGTTTAGAATTGACGCAACTCAGGTTGAAAAAACAATACATGCCTGGATTTTGAAAATTTTAGATTTTAGCTGGAAATCGTTGAAATCACTGAGCCGATATTTGACAATCGGCAAAGCACAGTGAAAAGCTTTTTCTGCTTCACTGTCCTTCAAGGTCACTTGGTTGTCGATGGGTCGTCTTGTGTTTGATTCAACTTGATCATAGAGTGTTTTCTTTTCCTCCGAGTCATCATTATCATCGGAATCACGATCAAGGACAGGATCATGGTCAGGGTCACGATAAAGGTCACGATCAGGGTCAGGGTCATATTCAGGGTCATAGTCAGGATCAACTGGATGAACAGCGTCTTCAGAATCTACAAAATAATGAAGATCAAGAACTTTAGCTGATTTGTGGTCTTCAGCGTATGTAATTCCGTGATTTAAATAATATAAACCAACAAAATTTCTGTAAATAATACCGTCACATTAAAAACACCATTGATCAAATTTTAACTTAAACCAACTAGTATTGATTATATTATTCTAAATGTAAACAATCATCAGTGATGAACGTGGCCCTATTGCTAAATCGTTTACACGTCCAGTTATTTTATGTGTTGTAATTGTTATCATTTACACGTCCAGTTATTAACACGTTTTTATTAACTCAGCTTCGCGTTTGTGTGTTTGTTGTTAAAATTGACATCGAAAATTAGCCCACTTCTGATTGCTCTATAGATCTGAAATTTGGCATGCAGGTTACTTTCGCCTAACAATTTCAGATGCAATCATAAAAACTAGCAATTAGAGACCGTAATTAGCTTAATTTAATTACGCCCCAAGGACCATAAAATTGAGGACATGATTTCTAAAGATACCGACAAGACTGGAGGCTTATTGACACAGTTACTTCGGCCCCAATCGATGTGAGCGCGCTGGCCGTGATCGTATAGTGGTTAGTACTTCGCGTTGTGGCCGCGACAACCCAGGTTCGAATCCTGATTTTTTTAGTCCGTGTATTTATAAACACTTAGTCAATTCATACTTAATCAAGTCATTAGATAAAGTAGAAAATAAACTATATAAAAAACTTTTTTAAAAACCACGTTTTTCATGTGTAGCAACGGACTAAAAAGGAGAAAATAAAATACTTAAAAAAAACTTTTTAAAAAACCACGTTTTTCTTGTGGACTAAAAAGTAGAAAATAACTATTTACATACATTTGATGACAAAAAACGTGGGTCGGGCAGATGGGTCGGGAAATTTGATGGTGAACGTACCCACGTTTTTTGTCATCAAATGTATGTAAATAGTTATTTTCTACTTTTTAGTCCACAAGAAAAACGTGGTTTTTTAAAAAGTTTTTTTTAAGTATTTTATTTTATGTGTTGTAATTGTTATCATTCGTTGACACGTCCAGTTATTTTATGTGTTGTAATTGTTATCATTCGTTGACACGTCCAGTTATTTTATGTGTTGTAATTGTTATCATTCGTTTACACGTCCCGTTATTTTATGTGTTGTAATTGTTATCATTCGTTTACACGTCCAGTTATTTTATGTGTTGTAATTGTTATCATTCGTTGACACGTCCAGTTATTTTATGTGTTGTAATTGTTATCATTCGTTGACACGTCCAGTTATTTTATGTGTTGTAATTGTTATCATTCGTTGACACGTCCCGTTATTTTATGTGTTGTAATTGTTATCATTCGTTTACACGTCCCGTTATTTTAAGTGTTGTAATTGTTATAATTCGTTTACACGTCCCGTTATTTTATGTGTTGTAATTGTTATCATTCTACCATTCGTTGTTCATATTTATTAGGAGAGTGGAAAGTATAGAATGTTTTTTAAGTGTATGTAACACTAGTGGTCATCTATTATTTCAATCTAAGTCATTCTGGTGCGGTCGTCTAAATATGACCTCACCTCTCTAGTGGTCATCTAATATTTCAATCTCAGTCATTCTGTTGCGGTCGTCTAAATATGACCTCACCTCTCGGTGTTTGGGGCAGTCCCCTCCCCTCCCCAAGCCGCAAACTTAGCGTAACTTCAATAACAGAATCATGTGTCCTGAAATGGATTTACACCCCAACTTGCACCCCCCCCCCCCCGCCCTCACCAAAATTGATACGTTCTTTTCTCTCCACTGTAGCTTGATCAAGATTAGGTACTTTGATAAATTTTACTATTTACAAAAGGTTTTTAAAAAACGCAAAGCAATTGCTACATTTCGGTTTTGAGAAAGTGTTGTTGATATTATACTGTCCTCATTTTTTTGACAACACACTAATTGTTTGAAACCACTTTTTAACAATTTTCTCTTAGACTTGTCACCTGGCTGCAGGTTGTGGTCTTTGGCCATCCTCATGTGGTATTTCAGATCGGGATTTTCGTGTTTCTTTTTGTTACTGCTCCCACTTGTACAGCCACCAGCACCCAACACCAAACAGCACAGCAACAAGATGTAGGTCAACATGGCTGCCAGAGAATGATGTAAATAGATGTCGGCTGCAACAGAAAATGGTGATAGGATTTGTCACCAAAATCTGAAGCCAAGAGGAGACTACTATCATTAAAGCTATCAAATTCTCGACAGTGTTGTCAACATTATATCCTAAGATGGAAAATGTTTTTAAAAAAAACATCTTTGAAAAAGTATAATGTTTTTTTTAACAGAATTTTTGTGTGAAATGTGTTGCCTCATTTGTTATTGAGTTTCACGAGATGTCGTTTCGTCTTACCACATCTTCATTGATGTGTCCGATTTTACACGACACGACACGACACCATCCTCATTGGTGTGTCCCATTTTACACGACACGACACATAACCATCCTCATTGGTGTGTCCCATTTTACAAGACACAACACCACACCATACTCATTGGTGTGTCCCATTTTACAAGACACGACACCACACCATCCTCATTGGTGTGTCCCATTTTACAAGACACGACACGACACCATCCTCATTGGTGTGTCCCATTTTACAAGACACGACACCACACCATCCTCATTGGTGTGTCCCATTTTACAAGACACGACACCACACCATCCTCATTGGTGTGTCCCATATTACACGACACCACACCATCCTCATTGGTGTGTCCCATTTTACAAGACACGACACCACACCATCCTCATTGGTGTGTCCCATTTTACAAGACACGACACCACACCATCCTCATTGGTGTGTCCCATTTTACAAGACACGACACCACACCATCCTCATTGGTGTGTCCCATTTTACAAGACACGACACGACACCATCCTCATTGGTGTGTCCCATTTTACAAGACACGACACCACACCATCCTCATTGGTGTGTCCCATTTTACAAGACACGACACCACACCATCCTCATTGGTGTGTCCCATTTTACAAGACATGACACCACACCATCCTCATTAGTGTGTCCCATTTTACAAGACACGACACGACACCATCCTCATTGGTGTGTCCCATTTTACACAACACCACACCATCCTCATTGGTGTGTCCCATTTTACACGACACGACACCACACCATCCTCATTCCACTAAATCATTTCATTTAACTATACTTCAACTAAATCATTTCATTTAACTATGGTTCTACTAAATCATTTCATTGAACTATACTTCAACTAAATCATTTCATTGAACTATACTTCTACTAAATCATTTCATTGAACTATACTTCAACTAAATCATTTCATTGAACTATACTTCAACTAAATCATTTCATTGAACTATACTTCAACTAAATCATTTCATTGAACTATACTTCTACTAAATCATTTCATTGAACTATACTTCTACTAAATCATTTCATTGAACTATACTTCTACTAAATCATTTCATTGAATTATACTTCTACTAAATCATTTCATTGAACTATACTTCTACTAAATCATTTCATTTAACTATACTTCTACTAAATCCTTTTATTTAACTATACTTCTACTAAATCATTTCATTTAACTATGCTTCTACTAAATCATTTCATTGAACTATACTTCAACTAAATCATTTCATTGAACTATACTTCTACTAAATCATTTCATTGAACTATACTTCAACTAAATCATTTCATTGAACTATACTTCAACTAAATCATTTCATTGAACTATACTTCAACTAAATCATTTCATTGAACTATACTTCTACTAAATCATTTCATTGAACTATACTTCTACTAAATCATTTCATTGAACTATACTTCTACTAAATCATTTCATTGAACTATACTTCTACTAAATCATTTCATTGAACTATACTTCTACTAAATCATTTCATTTAACTATACTTCTACTAAATCCTTTTATTTAACTATACTTCTACTAAATCATTTCATTGAACTATACTTCAACTAAATCATTTCATTGAACTATACTTCAACTAAATCATTTCATTGAACTATACTTCAACTAAATCATTTCATTGAACTATACTTCTACTAAATCATTTCATTGAACTATACTTCTACTAAATCATTTCATTGAACTATACTTCTACTAAATCATTTCATTGAACTATACTTCTACTAAATCATTTCATTGAACTATACTTCTACTAAATCATTTCATTTAACTATACTTCTACTAAATCCTTTTATTTAACTATACTTCTACTAAATCATTTCATTTAACAATGCTTCTACTAAATCATTTCATTTAACTCTACTTCCACTAAATCATTTCTTTGAAATATACTTCAACTAAATCATTTCATTTAACTCTACTTCCACTAAATCATTTCATTGAACTATACTTCAACTAAATCATTTCATTTAACTATACTTCTACTAAATCATTTCATTTAACTATACCTCTACTAAATCGTTTCATTGAACTATACTTCTATATCCTTTTTAAAATTACATTTGTCGATTTTGCCAAACTCAAACTTTGTTTATATGTGACGACCAAAACACAAACTTGGGCCATTTTCTACTTTGGCCAACAATATCATACTTGGCTGATTGAGAAGCTTGGCCAAGACACTTTATTACATTAGTAAACCATAGAAGTTACTAAAATATTACATTTTGATTACTTACATGTTCAACTACAATGGCCTAGCTGTAGGGCGGTAGACTGCTGACACAAAAATCACGATTTCAAATCTGGGTTCAAGTCAGTGGACCGTCTCTGAGGCCACGCAGCTGAGATGGGTACCTGACTCACCTTTAGGTAAAGTATGGGTGGCTGGGAATAGTGCTGACCACACTATCCATACATATGTCGAGGTCATAGAAACAGATGAACTCTACTTCACTTACCATGTGGACCGTCGGGTTCGAAATGAAAACGTCCCTACTTTTGTACATTATGTTTACCTAAATTTCATCTCTTTAATATCCAGTATGCACAGGATGAAAGTAAACAAACTCGCGAAATGTGGCCCCGGACTACCAGTTTCACAACCTTGGTAAATGGCCTTGTGCTATCATTCTAACTCTAACAGGCCAGATAAATCTAGAAAAGGTGGCCCGTCAATTTGATCAACATCGGCCGTTATACAATCGTTAAATGTTTATGCGTTATATAGACGGACACACACACAAAGTGACGTACAGACAGGCTTTTGGGCTTTATGCTAGTGAGCAGGTGTCTTTCCCCTTGTTGTCTGTTTTAAGCTTTATGTGACGTCTTGTAAGTTTGTGTAAGGTTCCCATAATGTTCACCACACACGTCCACACACCAAATGTGCTCACGGCTTGCACATAAAAAGGTTTGAAATATTTTTGTGCTCTATGTGGAACAGTTCAATCTGTCATGAGATCGGTGAACTCGGGACACCATTCAACTAAATTATCTAGATCTAGATGTTATTGTATTGAAAGGGTTAGTAAAGTGATCTGAATAGACAAATACATTAGTTTGTTTAAAAAATTAATACTATTATTGTAAACCTACCTTTTTGTAATTTCATTTATCTATTCATATTACTTATCCTAGATATTAGTATTTTCATCTATTCGTATTATTTATCCTAGATATTAGTATTTTCATTATTTTCCATTATGTTTATCCTTACTTTATGTATTCTCATTAATCTAGCATTATGTCCACCCAAGATTTACCAATCTAATTATATTATGTCTATCATGTTGGTGCAAACTGCCCAAATGTTGACTAGCTTCTGACGCTAATCTTGACCCAAAGGTAAACGCCTCCCCCCCCCCCCCCCCTCAGACACGACAAGACAGTCTTTAACCTGACACCATTTTCAATGTGCTGGCATATCTGTCTAGGTCAAAACTAGAAAATGACATTTCAGTCTTTTCTATTATACCATTTTTTTTTCAAACTTGACCCGTTTGCACTTTTAAAATCCATATACGTTTTGTGAGGAATCGGAAATGGCGTAATGTACTACTTCCGTTCAACGGAAATTACTCAAAATTTGACAGAAGGGAGAGGATTAGATATGCTAATTATGTGTGCAATTTCGTCTATCTAAAACAGTACTTATAGGCTTTTGAAAAACGAAAAGTAGAACAAGTTCCAGTTTCAATTACCCGAAATTGCTGAAAAGCTGAAACAGAACTACAAATTTGATATAATACTAATATTTGGAATTTCATATATAGCTAGCTGTAACGGTACTCAAGTTATCGTGTTCACAGACACACAGACATTCATCCACACATCCACACACACAGACAAACGGACAAAATTGCAAAATTATGTTTTTTCCGACTCGGGGAGTTGTAAAACGTGTCGATTTCGATTTTTTTGCACGATTACCATACTTCCTCTATGCTTCGTATACGAGAAAGTAAAAAGTAATCACGAAAAAGTAAAAAGTAATCACGAGAAAGTAAAAAGTAATCAAGTTATTTTCTTACACGGAAAGAGAGTACCACTTCCCGTAAAGGGAAATCTTTGAAAATTTATTAGTGGAATTTCTTTTACCTAACATAAAGGGTCCTAGAGTAATTTGCTTTCGATGAATCACTAGTTGAGTAAGTACCTATTCCAGTTACCGGAAATCGTACATATGTTGATAAAACCTAAAATTTTACTTTAAAAATGCATTTTTCGGGAAAAAAGAAGCTACAAATCAGTATCCTGATACGAACACAGAAAAGAAGGTGTGGATTTTATTATATGCAAGTCTTCCACAAACACACGTTTCCTTTGTTTTTACTATAAAGTCAACCGCCCCCCCCCCCGATCAAAATGAAATGTATATAGAAAATATATACTTTTAACAGGGTCCGCCCCACCCACCGAAACCTTCAAGTCCCCCCCCCTCCCGAAGAAAAAAGTCTGGAAGAAAGACTGCACCTTGCTCGTGCAGAATTACGAGACATCATAAACACACACACACACACAGTAGACAGACATTACAAACACACACACACTAACACCAGACAATAGAAACACACACACAATTAACAGACAATACAAACACACACACACAATTTAATAAATGTCAAAGTTTCGTTTTGGCTGAGTTTATTTTCCTAACTTGTGTACACTGCTACTAATGTACAACCTCTTGACAAAAGTGTGTACACTGCTACTGATGTACAGCCTCCTGATGCCATTAATGGCGATTGTTTCGAAATATTTGCCTGGGAGCATTTCTTCCTACTGAAGAATAATCCTTTGGAGGTTTCTGTAGAACACAATTCAATATAGGAGGGTGGGAACCTCCAGGGTGCTAGGGGGTTTAACAGTAGTGTGTGATTAGGTATTAGTGTGTGGTTTGGTGGTAGCGTGTGATTTGGTGGTAGTGTGTGGTTTGGTGGTAGTGTGTGGTTTGGTGGTAGTGTGTGGTTTGGTGGTAGTGTTTGGTTTGGTGGTAGTATGTGGTTTGGTAGTAGTGTGTGGTTTGGTGGTAGTGTGTGGTTTGGTGGTAGTGTGTGGTTTGGTGGTAGTGTGTGGTTTGGTGGTAGTCAATGGTTTGGCGGTAGTGTGTGGTTTGGTGGTAGTGTGTGGTTTGGTGATAGTGTGTGGTTTTTGTGGTAGTGTGTGGTTTGGTGGTAGTGTATGGTTTGGTGGTAGTGTGTGGTTTGGTGGTAGTGTGTGGTTTGGTGGTAGTGTATGGTTTGGTGGTAGTGTATGGTTTGGTGGTAGTGTATGGTTTGGTGGTAGTGTGTGGTTTGGTGGTAGTGTGTGGTTTGGTGGTAGTGTATGGTTTGGTGGTAGTGTATGGTTTGGTGGTAGTGTGTGGTTTGGTGGTAGTGTGTGGTTTGGTGGTAGTGTGTGGTTTGGTGGTAGTGGGTTTGGTGATAGTGTGTGGTTTGGTGGTAGTGTGTGGTTTGGTGGTAGTGTGTGGTTTGGTGGTGGTGGAAAGAACCTTGTGTAGATTAGAAAATGAAGTGAAGAGCCTACATACACATTTCACCGAATAGACGTAGCAAGTCGATTCACTCCCAGATTTCATTGCGGCTTTAAAAGAACAAACTGTTTCCTGTAAGAGTTCAAAATAGAAGACTATAACCAGCAGTATTGAAAGAATAAAAACAAGCATCAAAAACGTTTTATAACAACCTTTTATGTAATAATGCACTAAAAAGGAGGAAAAAAAACTGCTTTTCTTTAAAAATTTAATAATGAACTGCTGTTTACGATTTTATTTGAGTTATTTAAATAGTAGTTCATTATTATGTGTTTACAGAAAATCTTTTTTTTCTCCGCTTTTAGTGCATTATTACATAAAAGCTTGTTATTAAAACGTTGTTTATGCATTTTTACTTTCTTGTATACAGAGTAGAGAGGAAGTATTATTATCGTACTAAATAATTAGCAGATTTTTTGACAGCTCTCGTCGTTTTACACCTCCTTACTTTATCATAAACGGAATATAAAGGATGCATTGTAATCGTGCAAAACATCTAAATAGTGATATTGACAAACTTTGACGTTTACATCCCTCCAGAACGGAAAAAGTTGGTTTAGCAATTTTGAGCGATTTTCAGTAACCGGAGGTGGTGTTTTTCTCTATTCTGCTTTCTAAAATATCTTCTACTTGGTCGATTTCTTTCAAACTTTTCAATGAATAGTGACATAAAATGTGACTTAATACGATAGCGTAGCGAGGGGGGGCGGGGGGAGACATATGTCCCCGGGCGACGACCTTAGGGGGCGCCAAAATGGGTTGGAAAAATAAATTGAAAGGTTGAGGGGGTGCAAATCAAAATCTTGAGGGGGGGGGGGGGGGTGCAAATCGAAAGTTTGAGGGGGGGGGGGGGGTTGCAAATCAAAATCTTGAGGGGAGTGCAAATCGAAAAGTTTGTCCCCGGGCGCCGGGAAGGGTCGCTACGCCTCTGACTTAATAAGATGTTTAATGAACTTTTAAAAATTAATCAATGTTTCGATTATAAAGCACTAATATTTCTCTCACTTTAGCACGCATTGTTTACGTTTATTTTGGTTGGCAATGCTATTTCTATTTTAAAAAATTAAATATAAAAAAAATAATAAAAGACATTTCTACAACACGAGTGCACTGAAAGTGACCTCCCCTAAAATCTAAAATCTATTTCGCAAAATATGAGCATGAAAACGCTTATACTAGCGCGGCAAATATTACTTTAAATATGATATACTAAATAATTGATTAAAAAATATAATTAATTTATAAAAAATTAATTAGGCATCCAGTTAAATCAAATTTGATGTCGAATTTCATAGTCTTTGTGTCTTGACCCACGTGCCAAGTTTGAAAGCAATTCGAAATTTTGCTCGGCAGTTTTGATCCATGACGAACCATGACATACAGACAGAAAAAAAAATTAATGATATGTAAAATATGATATGTTTGTCATTGACTGAAACTTTCTAACAAACATAAGTGAAACTAATCTTGGTTTTTTTTAACTTAGCTAGTATCTAAAAATAGACTATTTAAGATGTTGGGTATGCCAGCTTATATTTGCATTTGTATCAGCGTATATGTAAGTAAAAGATAATATCGGTTTATCGATGTACTAGCAGAGCGCCCGCCCTGCGCTGTACGCGAGTGGCGGTACCACGTCCCTTGAGTTGAGTCGCATTGAGTGATTAGCAAACTCGCTTTTAACTTGGCTTGGAACTCTCGATTTAATTGGTAAAAAGATTTTGTATTATTTAAACTACTCTCCTCATACAATAAAATCTTGTGTTAATTAAATTATTATATCCTAATATATTAAGTTTGATTAAATTATATTCTAATTTAACCTATTGCAATGTTAAGAAACAAAGATTAATTTAACTATTGCATGCCATCTTTATTTTAAAGCAACACACACGTACAGTCTGAGCATGGATGTATTTGTGTTGCTTGTGTTTGCATGTGGGGATGGACGTA